AACACTAACACATATTATAACTGCAAACACAGCAAAAGTTTTAATCAACAAATGATGAGTGTCACAATGATTGGCTATGATCTTCATTGGCTTATTCACATGAGCAATTTTTAGTAGTATAGCTGGGTGACCAGGAACAAAACATTTTTCTACCATGACCTCCTGTTTTTTCACTGGGCTATATATACACTACCTGACAAAAGTCTTGTCGTTGATCCCAGTTGTAAGATCAAAAAATAGTAACTTGACTTCTAGTTAATCATTTAGAAAAGTGGCAAAGGGTAGATTTTTGTTGAACTGCATTCCAAATCATCACAAATACTGTAGAAGACCTACTGGAACCCACATGGATCCAAGATTCTCAAAGAAATAAGTCAAGTTTGGTAAAGGAAAAACCATAGTTTGGGGTCACATTCAGTATGGGGAGATCTGCAAAGACATTTGCGCTGCCCATTACATTACAAACCACAGGAAAGGGCAAAATCTTCAGCAGGATAGCGCTTACTCTCATACTTCAGCCACCACATCAAAGTTCCTGAAAGCAAAGAAGGTCAAGGTGCTCCAGGATTAGCCAGCCCAGTCACAAGATATGAACATTATTGAGCATGTCTGAGGTAAGATAAAGCAGGAGGCATTGAAGATGATTCCGAAGAATCTTGACGAACTCTGGGTCTCCTGCAAGAACGCGTTCTTTGCCATTCCAGATGACTTTATTAACAAGTTATTTGATTCATTGCAGAGATGTATGGATGGAATTGTTCAAGCTCATAGGAGTCATCCACAATATTAATTATTTTTCAATTGCACCATGACTTTATGTTCTATACTGTACATTATTCCTGTTAAGTGACAAGACTTTTGTCAAATCTTACGGTCCTAATTAAATAAATTAAAATCAAGGCATGATCATATTTTATTTTGGTCAATTAAGCGTAATCTTGAGGCCTTTGCCTTTAAGCCACTTCTGATACCACATGATCAACTAGAAGTCAAGTTATTATTTGTTTTTCCTAAAACTTGGATAGGCGACAAGACTTTCGTCAGGTAGTGTACATGAGGTAACATATCATAAAAGGCATTTTCAGAAATTGCTCATTTCCATAATCAGGCCAATTATTAAAAAACTCCAGTGAAGTGAAAGTGTAAGGAATCATCCTGAAATTAAAATACCGCATTTTAGAATGAAAACAGTCCTCTTTCATTATGTCGTTTTTACTGTATTTCAGAAAAAAACCCTGTTCACACTATACAGCCTACAATACATGATACATGACCCTTCATACTCACTAAACGTGCATATTTTCCCGCCACTTGCCACCTACTGGTAATAATGGTCATATTAGAGGAGATTGACCAATCAGGGAATTATATGTGATAATACAAAAGACCAATCACAGAGCGTTTGTGGATAGCCACGCCTCTGTTTTCAAAAGTCATGTAGACTGAAATGAAACACCAGTGTTTCAAAACTACAACCATTACAATCGGGGAGGTCAGCATTTTCAGATGCTTTATCGTTGTGGCACAAAGATGTTGGAGCCACTTGGATTCCAGGTGTAACCATAACAAAACCTATATATTTTCAAATAAAAAAGCACTAGTGTTAACAGAACCTGAAAGAGGATGTGTTTATCTTTATTACTGTTAGGAGGATGTTTCGAGTGGCCGAAAAGTCACTATGAAAATGTTTGAAAGAGCAACAAGAAGCATCTCCAAAAACAAACTCAACTATCTAAATTTTTTGTTAATATATTCAGAAAAAAGATTAAAAGGTTAAATCATGAAGAGAACAGCCTTTTTTACTTGAATTTACAAATAGCACTGGTGTTAGTGGACTGTAGTGTTGTTGTTTTTCTGTCCTTATCTCTATCTTAAATCTACATCAAAAAAACATCTTTCGCCATTTTCATGACCCATACTGAAACTCAGGCCATAGAAGACAACAAACTTACAAGAAACCAGCTGCGAGCCACTGGATGAACATCAGAGATTCAGCTGAGAAAATCAAGCAGACAATAAATCAATTTATCTTCAAAAGCTGCAGCGAGCGTGTAGAAACCATATGAGCACTGCTTTATGTTTTATTTCCTACACGCTAGTCAACTGCATCACAGCTGATTGAATGGCATTTTATATGAGATGTGAGCTCACAGCAGGAACCCAATGCAAAGACAATATGCATTCATGCTTGAATGAAAACAAATTTCATTTAGTTAATGACTATGGCCTGGATCTTTTAGGGAGAAACTCAAAAAATAGATGGTCCAATCTGTGACTTCACATCTGATTTAATGGACACCAAATTTTGACTTTGCATCAGAGCGGGAGCAGCTCTGAATAACGTCAAATAAAACAAGTTTGAAACAATAAGCTACATTTTTTAAAAATAAAATTATTTATAAAAATACTACACAGCATTAGATAATTGCACAAAATGATGGTTACAAATAGAAATATCAAAATAATGTTTATAAATCAGATAAAATACTGCTACTTATGCTGTATACGTATACTACCATTGGTGATTTTGACTAGAAGCCTTGAAATATAAACATTTCTAAAGGACAATTTTTGATAATAATAACCATAAATCAATGTTTTTGTGTGTATTTATTTATAATATGATGTTACTTTTATAATATTTAATTTCTGATATCAACATCTAACAGCGTAACAGTATTTCTGATATATAGTAAAAAGTAGCATATTATATTATAATATATTACATTATTATATTATAATATATTACATTATTATATTATATTATATTATATTATATTATATTATATTATATTATATTATATTATATTATATTATATTATATTATAACTGCAAAAAATAAATACAATTAATTGATTTCGTCACCATCCTACCATTTAAATTGGTACTAGAATTCCCCCTTGTACTTTTCAGCGTCCTCCGCCGATGGCCCTCTCAGAAGCTGAATTCAGGAAAAGTACTTTTCTGCTTCAGCAAGACGCTAAGTCCACTGGAAAAGGTATTAGAGCCATAGCCAGCCGGCCATGAATTCACTAACCCCAATAGCAGAGCGGATCATTAACCTTGAGTCTCCAGATGCACCAAGAAATCCCCATCAGTTTAATAGGCCTGTATCAGGGTTAAAGAGAGAATCAGGCTGCTGTTTGTAATTGTTTAAAATCCAGACTGAGGATCCTGGACTTCAGCACCAAGGACAGCACTGTCAACTGTATTTGTTGTTTTCACTGAGAAAGAGTGTAGAATAATATCCAACATACTCTTCCTCATTATGTGAAAATACGCCACAAAAAAAAGTTATTTTATACTCTTGCTTGACATTATAAAGCAAGTTTGAAGTAAAAGCTTGAACTCTGATGCTAAGCTAACAGTTAGCATTTTTGTGTCCTCTATCAAGTCTAGTTGTCCATTTGTATGCAATGATGTCAATCGGTTGCCAAATACATAAATAAATAATAAAGTATTAAGAACTATTATTATTATTATTATTATTATTATTATTATTATTATTGTTGAATTCCTTTAACCAAAAAACTGACCCAGTCGAGGCTCGTACCAGCAACCTTCTTGCTGTGAGGCGACAGCACTTTCTGCTGTGCCACTGCGTCGCCTATAATGTTTTTAATAATGCTTAAATAAGAGTGCTACATGTTGACTCTTATTATTTGTTGACTTGATTTTATTACTGATATTTTACATCAGAACATTAAAAAGCTTTTGAAGATTCATTTTATATGTATTTATATAATGTATTTATATATTTTATATGCCACATTTAAAGAAATATAACAGTGTTTTAATCAAACCATTTTATAATCTTATCAGTTTAGTAGGCTTAATAAAGTGTCAATAAAGAGAGAATCCGGCTGCTGTGTGTAATAGATTTAAATCCAGTCTGAAGATCTTGGACTTCAGCACCAAGGACAGCACCTCTCAACTGTATTTGCGGTTTTTACTGTGAAACAGTACGGAATAATATGAAACACATTCTCAGCCTACGGCGAGGCAGTGGCGCAGTAGGTAGTGCTGTCGCCTCACAGCAAAGAAGGCTGCTTGGTCGCTGGTTCGAACCTCGGCTCAGTTGGCACTTCTGTGTGGAGTTTGCATGTTCTCCCTGCCTTCGCATGGGTTTCCTCAGGGTGCTTCGGTTTCCCCCACAGTCCAAAGACATGCAGTACAGGTGAATTGGGTAGGCTAAATTGTCCGTAGTGTATGAGTGTGTGTGTGTGGATGCTCCCCCAGAGATGGGTTGCGGCTATAAGGGCATCCGCTGTGTAAAAACGTGCTGGATAATTTGGTGGTTCATTCTGCTGTGGCGACTCCGGATTAATAAAGGGACTAAGCTGACAAGAAAATTAATGAATGATTGATAGCATAACTATTATTATTGTAGAATATTTGGCACTAAAATTGTAGTAAAAAAAATCTTATTTTACAAAACAAACAAAAAAAATAAAATGGTTTATTCTTCCAAATGTTACATTTATTTAAGTGTGCTACATGTTGACTCTTTGGTTATGGTATATCATGGTTATTTGTAAAATTTAAAATAAGAATATTGAGAAGTTTTTGAACTTTATTTTGATATGTACCATATTACCCAAAGTGTATTTGCCATATTTTAAGAAATATAGCACTGTTTTAATCAAAACATTTTACAAAATTAAGTTTTATGGAGTCAGTCCTATCTATCTATCTATCTATCTATCTATCTATCTATCTATCTATCTATCTATCTATCTATCTATCTATCTATCTATCTATCTATCTATCTATCTATCTATCTATCTATCTATCTATCTATCTATCTATCTATCTATCTATCTATCTATCTATCTATCCCATCAGTTTAATAGTTTTACTAAAGTGTCAATAAAGAGAGAATCAGGCTTCTGTGTGTAATAGCTTTAAATCCAGACTGAAGATCTGAACTTCTGTCTATTTCTGTCACAATACTGTCTATGAGCTATTTTTTTTATGAAAGGTCACAAATGTACACTCACCCGATCGGTTGTTAGGGGACGTCCGGACCGGTGATACTGACGGGGTGCGTGAGGATGAGTACGGCCTCTGCCTGTCTCTCTCTATTGTTGAGGCAGAGCCAACAAAGTGATACTGCGAGTAGCCGTCCTAGAAAAATAAAGAGCGAGACAGAGAAAAGTCTATAATACCATGCGTTAATTCATTTATTTGGTCTACTAGATACACAACACAATATGCTTTCCTCAGGATCTATGTACGCTACATTAGCCCACTGTTATTCTGTCAGCGTGGTTTAAAGCCTCCTGGTGTGGAATCATTACAGAAATCAATGAGCGGATGGAGGTACAGAGATCAATGGGGGAATGATCTGGAGTTCAGCAGCTGTGGAGAAAACCTGTGTGATGTGTGACTGGAGCAGAAGATAAACGGATGCCACTGAAAAGGACAGCTGAGATCTAAGTGTCTGATCACCTCATTTTATTTAAGAAAAATGTCAAATTACAAAAAAGGTAGGTCAAATGATAATGACAAATAGAGGATGTAGTGAATCCGATTTCTATTCATATTACGTGTATTAATACTATATAGAACATACATTTATAGTGTTTGTGAAGTAATTTTTAATTCAAATGTAGTACGCAGCTAAAGGTCCCGTAAAGTTCTGTGAAATTTTTATTCTATGTTTGAAGAAATCTCAGCTGAAATATAAAGACAATGTGGGACATCTAATGGCTTCACCCCTTTAAAAAAGACAAGTGTCTTGTTTTTATCACAGTTTAGCCAGTGAGAGTGGTTGAGCTCTAAATCCTTTTTACAATTTTTTTTTTTAATTATTGTGTTATCATGGAAAAAAAATCTCTTACATGTAATTAGTTTCATTCGCACTAGACACCAGGGGTTGCCCTTGCCCAAGTCCACAAAGGAGTAATACATTTGCATACTACCTTACTATAGACCTTTTTCTTAGAATGCAAAATAACCCATTGTGCTTTGCTTGTATACCTAGAGGTCTGAAAGAGCTTTGAAAGAAATCTGCCACTAGGGGGTGATTTTGTGTTTTTTGAGGTTGTAATTGATTGGTTATTACACACAGTTTTGCACAGCCACACAAAATACATATCATATGATAGGCCTGCCCATACTGAACACTTTGAAACAAACAACATTAATACTGTTAATTAAATATTAATTAATATATAAAAACCTACTTTTGCAAACTAGTCCCTGGTTTTTAGCACTTGCTTTTAACATATTTGAACTAATAATGCTGTCGATCAGCGCCACCTCCTAGACTGATTGTTTAAAAAATGTGATCTAATAGAAATGTAAAACAACATTTGCATTTGCAAATGGCATCTTGTGCCATTTAGATTAGATTCAACTTTATTGTCATTACACATATGCAAGTACAATGCAACGAAATGCAGTGAACATTGTCTAAGGTTTTGTTTCCCCTTGTGTGGCAGAAAATGTTTTGATGGAATTTGGGGAGCACTATCTTTAAGTTTGAGTGATTCAAATCCCCCGCAACAATAAAAGCAGCCTCTGGGGGAGCAGTCTGAATCTAATCCATTTTGTTCACCAGTGACCGTACACTGGCGAGAAAGATGCTGGTTGAAGAGAGCCGGTGTGGTGCTAGCTTTAGCTTAGCTCTTAGCCCGCCACAAAGAGCTAAATGAAGCCTTGTCATCACTAAAGTGATCATTTTCTGTTTTGTTTTCAAATAACCAACTTGTAACACATGTAACAAATGTAATTTACTAAAATATTTGACACACACACAGCCTGTACTGTCCCACTGGCACATTGATTGAATAAGTAGCACAAAGTGAAAGTAAAGTGGCATTTTTAAAATGACAGAAAAACACATACCATGGCAAATCCCACACAATCCTACAAACTAACTAGATGAAACATAAACGGCTCCCGATTAGAATCAACATGCAAATCAGCCAGCAGAGTATCAGTCATGTACGATTCTTTTTTTTTGGAAATTGCATGGCTTACATACCTGTTAAGTTTCATGCCAGTAATATGCTCTAAAGTATAATGCAGTGATCTATTGTGTGTGTGTGTGTGTGTGCATTGAAGAGCTCCTGCAGTACAGTATAACAGCTGACAGGTCGGGAATGCCAACGCTTTATTTCAGCATCTTATCTGACAGCAAACACTGAATTAGGAATGTTTTTTTCTTGCGCTAGAACTACATCTGACAGAAGTGTAACAGCTTTAACACACAAAGTTGTGGATCACAAAAACACTCCCTATAAGCTACTCAAAATGGTATTGACAACCATTTTTTGATTAAGATTAACCAGTTGTAAACGCTGTAAACGTAAGTTCTAAGCATCCTACTGGAAGAAACTGGTCGCGAGGCCACCTCCACGCAGCAACAAAGCAAAAGGTCTGTATAGTATGTGAAAAACAGTATGTGAGCTGAGTAGTATGTCTGAATTTATCGAATTAAAAAAAAAGTCGATTTTACTTAAAAAGCAGTAGTGAGACTCTGAAGTGTACATTCAACAAACACTTTAAAATAAGGCCATGTGAACAAATTTAAGCAGGTAGGTAATGACAAGTTGAGGATGTAGTGCATCTGATTTCCATTCATACTACTCATATTAATACCATATAGAACATTAATTTCTAACATTTATAAAGTAAACTCGAATGAAGAGTTAGTACACAGTTAAATGTCCCACAAAGTGTTTTTTTTTTTTTTTTTTTTAAAGAAAAGTAGGTTATGACAAGCGGGTATTGAACCCGTGTCTCTGGTGGGGAGACATTCAAAAAGGTTTTAACAGTATTATAAACATACAAAGAAAACTCCCTGATGGGAGAAAACAAACAAACAATAAGGGTGCAAGCAACAGGGTCTTACTATGCATAGATCAGGAGGTCAAGGAACTCTAGGCAAGTTCACAGGGTACTGACTCAAAAACATAAGAACATTGAAAAAGTGACAACTGAAAAACACAGGCTGAAACAAGTCACAGGTGATCGAAATTAAGTAAACAACAAAACACAAGTAAGAGCTAAGGCAGAAGGCAACATGGGGACCTCTAGGGGAATGTAGACAGAGTGCTGGACAAGTGAAGGTTGAGTTTCTTTGTTCTGTTGAACACAAAAGACATTTACAAAATTGTTGTTACCTGGCACCCATTGAAACAAACAGCATTCTTCAAAGTATCTTCTTTTATGTTCAACATCAGAAATAAACTCATAAAGGTTTAAAACGACATGAGGGAGAGTAAATTATGTGGTAATATTCCTTTTAGGCTGAAGTAGACCTTTATATAATTCAATAATTTTTGATCAAATAATTGATTTTGTTATCATGAGGCCCGTTGCTGATAAATAAATCTCTGTTAGTGATTTTTTTAAAAATTATGATTAGTTTTATGATAGCTTCTAATGTTTACATTTTTGTCCTCTATGGAACTGTATGATTTTTCAAAACCCAAGAACAAGTAAAAAAAAAATCAGTACAACTGATCACTATAACAGAAAAATCTTATGAGGTTTCAGAACATGGTGCAGTTTTGCTAACTGAATCAGAGGCAAAAGATATACAGCAAGAAAACAATGAGAATGGCTGAAAACTAGTCTGACCTATATACTTTTTTTTTTTTAAACAGAGACAGAGAACACCACCCTTGACATCCCATTTTGCCCCTCCATGACATTCCTTTTGTTGGAAAGGTGAGGAGCAGATCAAAGGGTCGGTCCTTGTGACTCAGTGCAGTTCAAAGCTGCCCCACTTTCCCAACACGGCAGAAACTCAGGCAGGAGAAACCACCACTCTCCACCTAATGTGCTTGTTGCAAATAATGACATTGGACAGGTATTTGAAGGCTCCAAAGGGCGTGAAGAGAAGCACAGGACGGTGAAAAAACTGCAATTGTCGCCTGTCGACTATAAAGACCTCTTCAGTAGAAGACTTTGTCATTTCTTTTTGCTCACGCTGTTTTAAGTGTTACTTGAACTTTTAGGTTACCAAAAGATGAATAAATAATTTTAATTTTTTTTGCTTTATGATGATGGGCAGTTAGGTATGGAGGACCAGAAATGCCGGTTAGAAATAAAATAGGCTATAATAAAAAAAAAAAAAAAAAAAAAAAAAAAATATATATATATATATATATATATACACACATCACTCCTCAACTGTACATTTTGTTTTATACAGACTTTGATAATCCAGATGAGAATTTCTTTAACAGAAATCATTTGAGTTGCTTCGCTGATCTTTAAACTCCCACTTAAATGAGCAGTGGTTTTGTCTCTGTCCAATGACAGTGCGTGTTTCATTTACATGTGAAAGAGGGTTTAGCTTGACTTGAGGCGAAAGTTGATTGGTTGCCCTTATATGTGGACTGTCCAATGGCATTTCAAACTTAATTTATTTTCATCTCAGGAAAAGCGTGTAGCAAAATTAAATGAAAAGCAAGTTGCAAATAAAGAGAGAAAAGCATTTGCCAAATGCATTTTTAAAAAGCTATTTTAAGTGTGCATTTAAAAGCATTTTAAATGATTAATTAAAACACTTTATATTGTTTGATTAATCAATGTTTTAAAACATGATTTAAATTAACTTATTATAAAATGTTTTATTTATTTGTTAACTTAAAAATTATGTGTAAATGCATTGTTTTATTGCTTTATTAAATGACATTTAAAATCAGTTTTAATAAAAACAATTTAAATATGTCTATTTACTAGTCCATTAATTGTCTATTTAAATTGTGATTCATTTATACACATTTTAATACCTTAATTATTAAACTGATAATTTGATTCATTATTTTATTTCTAACTGGCACTTCTGGTCCTCTATAGTTAGCATGGCCGTGCAATAAAAGACACTTGAAAGCTACAGTATGCATAAAAATACTGTTAGACTGACAAAATTAATATATAATTGCAAATATGTGCTTTGCTTTGATGTCATTTTGAGTAATTTCACAATTAGAAAGTATAATGTAATGGTAGTCGACAAAGTATTTATCACTGTATAGAAGAGGGGTGCCAAAACTTCTTTCTTAAAAACTTTCTTAAAAAGGGCCAAAAATCAAACTTAATTGAGGCTAGTGTGCCGAAGGTAATTATAGTTGTTATGGGTAATTTCCTAATCTATTTAGAATGTT